GTGGACCACTTGGAATAACGATTGCATCCAGTGATGAACGTTATGAACCTGTATTGATATCATATCTTGCACCAGGTGGATTAGCTGAAAAGTACGATTATCAGGGTTTATCAAAATTTCTCATTAGTAATTACTTTTAGTAGCAATAATACACTATAAGAAGTTTGATATAAAAGTAATAAAAAAAAAATTCCATCATCATCATCATCAAAAATATGTAAGCTAAATTTGAAAATTGAAAAAGATAAACCATATATTATATGTCATATCGTACAATTGTACGATATGACATTTAATCCTATTATCATTTATTAAATTAGTTCTTGTAATAACTTTTAAAATATCTTACTAATAATCAAATTTCATCATCATCATTATTTAGATGACTTAATTATAGGACAGGAGCGTTACGTATTGGTGATCGAATTCTTGCAGTAAACAATGAGTCGGTTGAAGGTATAAAAGCAGCTGATGTAATGCATTTACTACAACAATGTACCGATCCTGTTACAATTAAAATTATGCGAATCTTTGATCCATCAACAACTCATTCAACCGGTTCAATCATTTTTTTTTTCTCATTAATTATTTCTAATTCTTTTTTTTAATATAATTAAAAAATATGCAAAATTATTGAAGGTTCATGGCATTTATCAAATTCATCACAAATAGATAGAATTCGATTACAGCATAATATAGCGATGTCCGATTCATACAGCGAAACTTCGGAAAAAATAAGGTTTGTTTGTTTTTTCTATTTTAAAGAAACTTGCATTAGCTTTTGATAAAATTTTTAAGATAAAAAAGAAAGCATCTTTCTACAATTGCTTCAAATTTCGACGGGGAATTCAGAATAAAAAGAAAGCTCGAACAGAACAATTTTAACTCAATTTATGTTTAATATTTTTCAGTTATTTTCAATTCAAATTTACGATTAATTTATTTCTTTATTCTATATTTGTTGACATTTTTTTTTTTAAAGCGTCTTATAATTTTTTGGAAATATCAAATGTTTCATTTTATTAACAAATATAAACAATTCAATTATCATTTCCTCTTTTAATTTCAGTACACCAATTCAAAGTATCGATAGTGCTGTGGAAAGCTTGGATGATTCACCGGGTAATATACCAAAGTATCATAGTGATACACAACGGTATGTAATCGATGAACAATTACCCAATACTTCATTAAATTATGGTTTGTTTAAATTTAAATAATTTTTGTAATTTTTACATATCACACTACTAATGAAAAATAGCGGATTTATTTTCTGCTAAACTTTTAACTTTCCAGAATTTGAAATTTTAAATTAAGTTAACTTAAAATCATAATTTTAATTTGTAAAATACTACTATCGTCTAGTACTATCATAAAGTACTATTTTTAAGTATACTCTGATAATATTTTATAATACTGGCTAACAGATGAAAATCATGTCGAGAATTTACAGTTGAAGAACAAATTGATTACGAGAGGATAAATTATCCTAGCGGTAGTGCACATTCATCCGGATTATCTGGTCCATTCAGCGGTGAATCACGAAAAAAGCCTAGTAAACTTACTTATTGAAAATCGTAGAATTTCGAGAAATCAAAATGAACTTCACTTATTTTATTCTACAAAATTGGAATTAATATTAAAATATGGAACTTGTGTTCTAGAAAAAAAAACTAATTTCAGGTGTATATTGGATGGAGCAAGGACAAGGACAGGGACAAGGTCAGTGGGAAAGAAATTTAAATTTACCAACGGATAAATCACATTCACAACGATGTGATTGTCATAAAACAACAAATTTAGAACCGGAAAATTGGTATATTTTTCTTTTTTCATCTCTTTTATTTTCTGGATATTTACACACATTTAAAGTATCAT